TACTTGCAAGAAGTTTCAACACACCTCAGAAGCTTCTCGTCAAGAGGCGCGCCCTGCGAGACGGACACCGGGAGGGAGGCGCGGCGTGGTTGCGGACTTGCGACGGCTGTGCGCTTTGTTGCGGCTGCCATGTCTCATACCATGAATTCTTCCTTACAAATCCTGTGTGGACGTCGTTTTGCGGAAGCACGACAAGTATAGACATAGTGTCGGGGAGTCTCTGCCCTATACAAGGGCTAGTCGCGAGCTGAACGGCCAGAGCACACGAAAACATGCGCCGTGCCTGCTATGTGTCACCTCGTGCTACTTTCTTGCATGTTTCTGTAGGAGAGGCGATTGGAAAATGAGCAGCATAGTGGTTCTTAACTACATCTAAAGCGAAGCACATGTCACCCTCAGAGCGTGCCAACCGACTGTGCATTTTCCGTGGCTGACCTTTCGGTGCTCACAGTGACATTGCAGAAGTCTCCATACAACTTGGGCCAACTACCACAATATCAACTCAACAGCAATGAAGAATATACTTGCAAGAAGTTTGAACGCGCCCCACAAGCTTTTGCAATATTCATTTCCCACATAAACCTTTACAAGGCAAACCGAGCCTTCTTATAGCTACGCATGTGCTATTTACCAATTTGCAGCCCACTAGCTCGTAGGTCTCCCTCTTTGCCCAGCCATCATGCCAGGGAACCTTGGCATTGTTGAGGATCACTTCTTCAGCGTCGCCCATGATGACCAGAGACAGGTGTGCCTCTGTTGGTCCTATGGAAGGAGGACATACCATGACGACCAGCCAGAGCTCATCCATGCAAGATGGCCAAACCAGTCCATAGCAAACAGATACTGGGTTGCCCATGGGGAAACATCGCAGTTTTGGCGAGTGGTCCAGTGGTCCATGGATGGCGCGACTGGGTGAGGAACATTAGCCGCAACTTCACAGATGCCTACACCATCCAGATCTGCTTCGGGCGGACGCGCTAGACCCAACCAACTGTGTGTCTCATACCGTGACTTCTTCCTGATAAATTCTGTGTGGACGTCGTTCTGCGGAAGCACAACGCTATCCTTGCTGTGTACAAAGACTTGTCGCGAGCCGAACAGCGAGAGTCTACAGTGCCTGCTGTGTGTCACCTCGCGCTACTTTGTCGCGTTTTTCTCTGAGACAGGCAATTACTCAATGACAAGCATCGTGGTTGGTTAACTACATCCTAGAAAAGCTGTGTCCTGGAGTGAAGTAAACGTTTTTGCTCGGAAGATATATATCCATGGATGCCTTTCCTCTCACAGGTCACTGCTTCGAGACGCTTCTTGGCGTGGCTGCCTCAGCATTTTCTGCGTTCATTCCAGCTCGGATTTTAACCTCGCGCTACTTTGTTGCATGTTTCTGTAGGAGAGGCGATTAGAAAATGAACAGCATAGTGGTTCTTAACTACATCTAGAGCGAAGCACATGTCACCCTCAGAGCGCCTGCGCCAACAGACTGTGTATTTTCCGTGGCTGACCTGTCGGTGCTGACAGTGACATTGCAGAAGTCTCCATACAACTTGAGCCAACTACCAAAATATCTACTCAACAGCAGTGACGAATATACTTGGAAGAAGTTTCACGGAACCCACAAGCTTTTGCAATATTCATATCGCACATGAACCAGAGCCTTCTTATGGCTACGCATGCGCTATTTACTACTTTGCAGCCCACTAGCTCGTAGGTCTTCCTCTTTGCCCAGCCATCATGCCAGAAAACCTTGGCATGGTTGACGACCACTTCTTCAGCGTCAACCAGGATGACCAGAGGCAGATGATTCACACGTTATTGTTCAGTCTGCAGTGCAGCATGTGGTGATGCAATTGTTGAGATGGCAAAGCCAGCACGCTGGCTAGCATCATAGTTGAAGCGGGTAAGCCAGCAAGCTGGCTGCCATTGTCCAGATGGCAAAGCCAGCATGCTGGCTGCCATCATAGTTGAAGTGGGTATGAGCCAGCACGCTGGCTACCATCATAGTTGAAGTGGGTAAGCCAGCACGCTGGCTGCCATTATTGAGATGGCAAAGCCAGCACGCTGGCTACCATCATAGTTGAAGTGGGTAAGCCAGCACGCTGGCTGCCATTGTCCCCTTACCAGCAGCCCAAATGCTCACGACGATGAGCTGGGCTGTCACCGCTTGGCCGCCGGTGGGGGGTTTGGGAGGCCGCATCACACACAGACACCCACACACTCCCTCAACTTACACGAACACACACATACGCAGACTCATTTCCACACGGACATAGACACACGCACAGAAACCCACACACTACCTCAACTCACTCGACTTCACACTTCTCACTGCACACTTACCGGATAACTCGCACTCTGACTTCCTACGTGATGAAAAATGCTTTCGGGCCACTCGTCGTCTAGTTTGATTTCATGGTGGTTCTCCATGATACTTCCCCCAAACCTTTTTCCTTCCGCCACCTTCAGCTGCCGCGCGTTCGTGAACTGCAGATGTACAAACCATTGTTGAAACATCTTCAAGTGCTCCGACCTTTTCACTTTTCGGTTCCATCGCCATTTTGCCTGGGAATTGAGTTACTGAAAACCAATGTCAGAGTGTGTAACCCTTGGAGTCACAGGGATCCTGTTGGATTGTTACTTGTTGCATGCGTTTTCACAGCAGGGGGTAGCGGCAGATCAATTGGGACCGCTACCAACGAAGATGCCCATTTGATCTGGCGATATCAGAGTTGGCCACTCTGACGTACCTGCTTTCCTTTTGTGGTGTTCACAAGCTGTGACTCTACTCTTCCTTAAAGGGCTAGTGCACGCTGCAGACAAGAGCGCACGACGTCATCTCGACCTGTTCGCCGCCTCGTTGAGCATGAGTCTTGGCCTTTAACTACAGGTACCCAGGCCCCTCTCCCTTGACCTTTCAGGATGAGCGGGCGGAGTAGGCTTGCGCCAAAGTCATTTGCCAAGACTTGATGGATTATTGAATTCTAAGCTAGCTCTACGCCGAAACGTGACCGCAGCGGTCCAAGCTGGCTTATTAGGTTCATTGGAACCTGGCAAGACCTTAATCCCCATCCCCTTCCTGCCCCCTACCCTCCCCCTCTTCCTTCTTTGCCTTTGGGGCGTTCCTGAATGTAACACTCAGGTACACCCTTCTCCCTGGTGTCACTGGACGCTTGCTCCTAGCTGGGAACACCTGTCCACTTCCTTTTCTTTCTGTCTTCTTTTCTTTTCTTTTCTTGTCTTTTCTTTTCTTTCTTTTTTGTTTGTGTGTTTATTTCTTTGTTTGTTTGGTTGTTTGTTTGTCCGTTTCTTTCTTTCTGTCTTTCTTTCTTTCTTTCTTGTCTTTCTGTCTTTCTTTCTTTGTTTATTTCTTTCTTTCTTTCTTGCGTTTCTTTCTTTCTTTCTGTCTGTCTGTCTGTCTTTCTTTCTTTCTGTCGTTCGTTCGTTCGTTCGTTCTTTCTTTCTTTCCTTCCTTCCTTCTTTCTTTCTTTCTTTCTCTCTGTCTCTCTCTCTCTCTCTTTCTTTCTCTCTTTCTTTCTTTCTGTCTGTCTTTCTTTCTTTCTGTCTGTCTTTCTTTCTTTCTTTCCCTCTTTCTTTCTTTCTGTCTGTCTGTCTGTCTTTCTTTCTTTCTTTCTGTTTTTCTCTCTCTCTCTCTTTTTATCTTTCTTTTCTTTCCCCTTCCTTCTTGTTTGGGTGTCCCTGGACACTTTCGTCATAGCTGGAAACCCTTCTCTTCTTCTCTTGGTGTGTCCTTGGACGCTTGTGTCGTAGCTGGGAACACCTTCGTTTCCTTTCTTTTCCTTTTTTTTCTTCTCTTCTCTCTTCTCTCCCTACCCCTCCCTCCCTCGCGCACGGCGTGTTAACATAGAAACGATGCTTTGCAACCGGTGTTCAATGAGTTTTGGTTTCATCGGCTTCTGTCCCCTTCATTTGGCTCCCCCTTTTTCATCCTGCTTTCCCCTTCACACACCTTTTCTTCTCGCTTTTCTTTCATGTCTTCCTGTCTTCATGTCTTGTCATCTCATCCTTTCTTTCGTTTGCGCACACATCGGTCCTGGCCTTAGTGTGTACATGCACATCCACCTGCACTTTAAACAACCCAGGCTTCAGGTCACCCAGGTTTGATAATGAGGTGGGGTTCATTGTTTGTCTCTGTACACTTGGTTCCTTTTCATCGCAACCACATACACGTTTGTCCTGTCCTCCTTTCATATCCTCATCTTTTTGTCCTTGCTGCGCGCACACATGCACATTTGTCTTAACCTTAGTTTTTTGCCTCCCCTCGGGGAGGCGTGTGTGTAACCCTTGGAGTCACAGGGATCCTGTTGGGTTGTTACTTGTTGCATGCGTTTTCACAGCAGGGGGTAGCGGCAGATCAATTGGGACCGCTACCAACGAAGATGCCCATTTGATCTGGCGATATCAGAGTTGGCCACTCTGACGTACCTGCTTTCCTTTTGTGGTGTTCACAAGCTGTGACTCTACTCTTCCTTAAAGGGCTAGTGCACGCGGCAAACAAGAGCGTTCGACGTCATCTCAACCTGATCGTCGCCTCATTGAGCTTGAGTCTTGGCCTTTAACTACAGGTACCCAGGCCCCTCTCTCTTGACCTTTCAGGATTCTGGTTCCTTAGGTTGCCGTGTGGCGAGCGGCATTCAAGTCAGTACGCATTTCTATATATATATATATGTGTGTGTGTGTGTGGATGAAAAGGGAAAGTAGACCTGTGGATTTCCACAAGTGCTTGATGACTTTTCCCACAAGCCACCTTAAGTGTCTGGATCCGAATTCATAATATAGTTACTCGTCCATCGCTGAAGCGTGTTCGTAGAAGTTGATCTTGGAAGTGAGGAAAACGGCTTCAACCTGCCGGGCCCTTGCAGTCCTTGCATGTTCCCCTTATGCCCTCAGGTTGGAGGCCATCTCTAGTAGGAGACCATCGCTATTAGGTTGGAGGCCATCGCAAGTATGTTCCTCCCCTTATGCCCGAGACGAGCCGGCCCGGCGTGGAGAGGCCGATGACAAACTGACGCAAGTCCAACCTCAGAAGGTGGACCGTCGTCCAAAGGGGCCAAAAGGAAAGCTTCGGGTTCTCCAAGAGATCCAAAGGAGATTTGACCTCAAGAGTTTCGCCCCCCGAAAGACTTGGAGTCTGAACACCTGTGGGAGCTTTGGGGATGGTTACTCGGAGTCTAGCTCCAAGGAAAATACCAAGTTGGCCCCAAAGGTGGGCGGAACATGGTGGAACTGGTTTCCGCAAACACTCAACACCAAACAGGGGGTTGGTGACATCCAGAAAGATTTGGGGGGGCAGCTTCCAAAAATATCTCGGACAAAGCGATAGCTAGCAGTTGAGGCTCTTCCGGCCAAGTCCGAAAGGATATATAATGCTTTTGGAGTATCTTGGAGCAATGACTGAAGAGGCTACTCAAGAAGTTGGCATGTGCTCAAGTAGCTGGCGGAAACCAACCACAAGAAGTCTCCTGAAACAGACCCAAAATGGGTCGCATTGGAGGGGTGGAATCCCGCATCTTTCTGCAACCAGGTTGCTGGCATCAAAGTACAGCAAGCAGTCAACCAAACACCGACACCAACTCCGTCCCCACTTCTGTCTTGCCCTGCCCATCCGGCTTCCCTCGAGCGCCCGGGCTCTCCTTCGCGGTCGGCGTCAAAGGCATCGAAGATCTCCCGCATCTCTGGGGAGGGCTTCTGGGCCAAGAGTTCGGCTGCAGTTCTACTGTACAATGGTTTCAGAGTAGATGGCCTTGGGCCCCCAAGGATGTCTTTTGGATGGGGGGGTCCACATGCACCTCAATCCACTAGATGTATTTTGTCAGATTGGTGCCACAAAGCTCGGGGGGTTCGGCCCGTCTCACACCCGACATCGGCTGGTCGGAAAAGAGAAGCTCTTCCAGTCAGAAGATGCACGCTTTGAGCGACGCTGGTTCGTTTCTCTTGGATCACCTGAGATCTGATCGCGAATGTCGGTCCGATACTAACCCTCTCTCTGCCTTGCTGAAGACCTTGCAGAAAGCCTGCCAACTCAACATAGAGGGCAACTCCGAGACTCGTGGCTCACCGGTCATTGCCAGAGGCTAAACAACTGCTCTTTGCACAGAGTGACGCTGAATCGACACGAAAGCTTGGCTCAGGGTCTCGTCTGCCCCCAGCCTCAAAGCTCATGAAGCCAGTGTCTTTGGTGTCGATTTCAACGAAGGTTTGGTAGACATCACGGATAAACTCCTTGGCACACGGTGTGAAACTCAACAAATTGGGACTCTAAGTTTGGATGATGTGAGACAGGAGCAAGGCAAACATTTATCATCAACGACAATCAATCATTTTAAAATTGTCAATCAAATATACATGTACAGTAGTATTAATTGTTCCCAAATGTGGCAACTAGCTCACAGGTTTGGTGATTGGGTGGTTGACGAACTATAGGCAGGTCAAGCCACTGGAGTGATGCCGTGCTTGGCCAACTCTTTGACATAGGGCGCCCGTGGATCACCTTCTGCATGTTCCTCCCGCGAGGGACGCGAGGGCATGCCGCTCGGATGTTACGCGTGCCTATCGGAAAACCCCAGACGGATGGTGCAAATGATCAGGGTCGATCCATGTCACTTGAGTAGATTTGGACCAAAAGCATGTCACTTGGGGCACGTAACAGTCCCTTGTGAGGCCAACTCCGCCAACTCCAGCCTTCAAGGTGAACTTCTTTTTCCGGCTCTCCAAGCGCGCCAACGCAGGAGTGGCATCTCCACCGTCCACCAAAGCCAGGGTGTCTGGGGGCGGCGGCTCCTCCTCTTCCTCCTCGCAGTGCTACCCGAGAAAAGAACTTGTGAACTGTTGTTGCACGCGTAGACGCACAACATTGGTAGAAAGGGTTTCAATCCCTTCGCCATCGAGTGGTCGCACATGCGAAATTTCGGACGGTTTGGGGCCTTTGGGCAATGCCACAAAAGTTTGAAGCAACATGTTAAACATGTTGCAATCTTTGGTCGAATGCCACACCAAACCAACTGGAAAGGATGAAGTCTATGAAGGTTTTTCACTCGCATAGAAAGAGCATCCATGGGCTGCTTGAGATTCGTGGTGTGTTCCAAGCCAGTAGTTATTCCTGTACTCAGTAATTGGTAGATTGCGTTCGGGGAAGCAAGTGTTGAAAAAGCGGAGCGACGAATGGTCTGACTATGTCTGATTCTTTCGATCCCTGGAATTCCGAGGTCATCTTGCAGCATCAGCCACATCTGCACCATCTTCGAGAGGGACCGGCCAGCCACACATATCACAAGTATCACACGTCCCCGGCCAGCCTCGTCGGGCGCCTCTCCAAAGCCGCCCCGGCGGTGCAGGTCGAAGTTCCGAAAGAGCCTCCACCGGTCCACCAGTGGAAGAGTGGAAGAGCTCTGCCATTGGAAAAGGTTGAGAAGATGGGGTGTATCAGGTTGGAGGCCATCGCTAGTGGAGGCTGCTTCTAGGTAGGGGGGCGCGGCCCTTTAAAACATTGCTCATTTCCTTATGGTTGGACTGGTGGAGCTTGGGGGTGTGAAGTCCTGATGACTTAAAGTATCGATCAAACATGCACAGCATCCCAAAAAATAGACAAACCTCAAACCATCGCAGTTTGCCCCATAAGTGCCAAATACCTGTCCATTGATGTACTTTGGTTCCAAGCAGATCAACCCCCCAATCCTCCTCCATTTGTGGTAACCAAAGGCCACACCTTTCCCCACTGGCCACCCAGGCACGGAGGCGGCTCCACGAAATATCTGCGGAACTCTGCGAACTCGATCGAGCCACTGCCGTCCTCGGTGTTCACGGTCATGAAGAGACACACGAGCCTTCTTTTCCCCAACAGTGAAGCTTAGGGGTCTTCAGCCATAGCAGATTGGAACAGGTCCCTGACCAGGTTCCAGAGCAAGTGCTGGAGGATGGTGCCCAGCAGGAGTCCGGAGCAGGAGTTCGCAGGAGGTTCAAGAGGGAGCCGGTTCCGGAGCAGCTTCGGAAGTTCGGGACTAAACGTTCCGGGCAGGGCCAAAAAAGGTTCCGGGCGAATCCCCGGCCCGGAGCGGCTCCAGTTCCACAAGAAGGTAAGTTCCCAGCAGTTGCGCTAAAACGCTGTCATGTGGTCATGCTGAGTTTGTCACAGCGTTGCGCTACAGTAACAAGTCATCACGCTGGCATGTTGTCCTGCCGCCAGACCACGCATTGTAACATGTTGTCTCTGAGTCATCCTAGCTTGAAAACAGGCTGGCATGCTGACTTGCTGCGTTTGCTGATGTGCCAACATGTTGCCATGCTGACATGCTGAGGTGAGGTGTTGTCAATCTTATATGATATTATATTATATTGTATGCTCATGTGGTGGTGTCGTGTCGGTGTGGTGTCATGCTAACATGCTGACACTTGTCTCGCTTACATGCTGACACATGTTCACGCTGAGATTCTGATGCCGAGTCGTGCTGTCTTGCTGGCACGACATGTCGGCAGGCTCCATGTGGTTCTGGAGCAAGTTCCCTGGTTCTTGCTTGTTGTGGCGTTGTCATTGCACACAGTGAAACGGCTCACATGTTTGGAAAGCACGAACACAACACTGTTGGTGAACTTGCCGGATTCATGTCCAGCTGTTGGGGGATGTTTCTTGGGCTTTTGGGATCTTCCTTTGAAGGAGCTGTGTAGCCGCTAGTGTAGCCCCTTGCAAGTTCCTTCTTTTTCCTCCCAAAGGCTTTTTACGTAGCTCTTTTCGCCAGGAACAATCAGGGAGAACATAAGTTGCCCGTCCCTTTCAGACACACTCTGTCGCAGGGTTGATCCGAGCATCAGGATCCATGAGACGGATCATCTCTTGGATCTCAGCGTCCGTGGGCTCTGGCTCCCCACAAAGCCTGGCTCGAGCTTCCCCTTTGAGAAAATCTCCAGGATCGAAACATGCTTTCTTCGACTTGGAGCTTTGTCCACCTCACCATACCTCACCGGGTCGCGCGTGCAACCGAGCAGCTGCAAGGCGCGTCGGAGGTCCGTGGCACCGATCTCACCGTGGCGGTCGAGGTCGATGATTTCAAAGGCCACCTTTCGAGGTCGGCGTCGTTCTCTTCGAGTCCAAGAATTCTGGGTCGCTGTGCCATGGCGCCATGGACTCCAATGGCAAGATGGGTGACCTTTCCCTGGTTGACTTGGGAAGAGACCCTTGAAACGACGACTGTTTACTCTAAAATCCCCAAGGAGGTTCGCCGGTCAAGGTCAGATAGCTTGTTCCTTGACGCGGCAATGACCAGCAGAAAATCCATCACACTTTCAAGGATACCCTTGTCACCTGCATTTGGCCAATGTTGGCCACCTCTGAAACTAAGTGGACATTAGATACCAATATTGTCTGAAGTTTTGGCTAATTTCTAGATATTGCTAGGATCGTTTGTGACTTCACCAGCGTCTGGCAACTGAAGGACTTCGCCAGGAAAATCTCGCGCCGCCTGCAACTCATCGTCGTGGTAAGGCCGCGCTTGAAGCCCTGGAATCTCGAAGGCCTCCCATCTGGGTGTCGTGTACCACCTCTGCAGTTCACCATCTGGGGTGTTTTGATGTGTCTTTTTGAAGCCTTCAGATCCTTGACTCGGTGTGGGGTTGTGGGGTGTGTCGTCTTTATCTGCCCGAGCTGCGAGTGTTCGGTTGATGTGACTTCGGGAGACGAGAAGGCGGAGACCCCACATCTACTCTCCGTACAATGGTGGTACCTCCTGCCCTGGGGGCTCCAAAAGCTTGACGCCTCGACACGAAAAACGTTCACGAGTCTTGCCAAGATGTCAGGAACATGCCTGCTGCATCTGGACTCTGGGTCTCGCCTTTTTGCTATCCATCTTCTGTGGTGCCTTCTTGACCTGGAGCAAACAGCGTGACTTGAGACGGAAAGCGAGAGAGCCAGAAAGTCGCAAAACACATACACTCCCTGAAACAAACATGGAAGTGGACAATCCCCTGTTTGTAGAGGAAAATCGTGTTCCAGGAGAACAGTCCACTTCCATGAGGATGTTGGAGGGAGGGTAATGAATTGTGAAGTGTTCCAGCGATGTCAACCCCCCCCGGTGGAGCACCTTCGGCATCAGGTCACTGAACTTCTGCGTTGTGCCCGTTCGGCAAACTGAAGCAAACCCGCAACGGCACCCTTCCTCTTCTTATACCTAAGCCAGCCACCTGGGAGCCCGGATTCCGCAATTTCGGCCTTCTACATGTCTCAAGGACCGGTTGGGGGTGGTTGGGCTGCCCGTGGCGGCGCTGCCTTCGAGGCAGAGGCCGGCTTGTTGGATGAGGCGGCCATGACCGCCAACGCCATGATGCCGAGTCACCCTTTGTGAAGGCTGAGATGAGGACCAAGGCAAAGACCAGGTAAGGCCGGGGAGGTGAGTTGGGTGAGTTGGGCAGGGTGGGTGGGGTGGTGGGGTGGTGGTGGGGTGGTGGGGTAGTGGGGTGGGTGGTATAATGCTAGGGCTTGGAAAACAAAAAACAACTAGGAACTAGTGTCCACAAACATTCAGGACGACATCAACCACAGAAATCCTTCAGAACTCATTGCATTGCTTTTTTGCTCGAGCCATTCAGCATGACAAGCACATGGCATCTCAACCCATGACCACCCCAAGCACGGATTTTTGGTTGATGGATGTTGATGGTGACAATCGGTCAGAGGAGGCGCCCCTCTCCACCTCTCTCAGAGTGAAGACTCGAGGCCACGACAGCTCTCGTTGCGTTTCCCTTCACTGGCCCCTGCCCCTGCCCTGATTTTCCCACACCGGGCGCAAGCGCGAACTGCTAGGCTTCCCTCATCCAATGATTGCCGCTTCCGTACCAGAGTTGCAAACTGGACATTCGGGGCCACCTGATCTTTGGCGAGGGTAGCTCGACGTAGGGTGAAACCTGACCGGCCTTCTCATGCAGCAGCCTGTGGCTAAAAATAATCGTCCGACCTCCTTTAAATAAAAGAAAGACGTGCTGCTGCACCAATCCGATTCTGGCGCAGCTGCGTGGCTGCCGCCATGTTTCGCAGCACAGCTGGCCTGACTCTTCCTTAAGTAGTGTGGCACAGCAGCTTGTCCACAAATGCTTGTCACTTTGTTGGCCTGCAAACTACCACCAAAGCATGTAGTGTTTGCAAGCCTTTACTTACTGAAGCGGAAATTGGAGTGTTGCTCTACAGGCCAGTGTCAAGCACTCTACCTGGCCTCCAACCTCGCTGACTTCTGTCACTGCTCATCCTATGATTATGTGTTGGCCAGGCTTTCAAAAGGCGTTCGTGCAACCAAATCCTGCATCTGTGTGCTTGTGAATTTAAGAGCTCGTCTTTTTTTGCCCAAGAATATTGAATAGTGGGAGTGACCAGCTGCCGTCGCGTCTCAAAATCCCAGCGCGCATTTTGCACAGCCAAGACTTTGGGAGATAATTATCTGCCGCAGGGACATCTTCACCTGCAGGCTCGCTGGAATGGCTGCGCACCTACGGACCTAAGGAAAATGAATCACAGAAACGGCAAACAGCAACTTGATTCTACACTTGCAGGATGAATGCGCTTGCAACACCTGCAAGAGAAGGCGCCTGCGAGCTTCTCATCGATGCAACAGCTCCGCAAGTTGCCTGCCCGGCTTCATGCTGAATTGATCAAACAATCGATTCCTATACTTGGGAGTCCCCAGCAAGAATCTAGCGTAAATACAGCACCTAGGACGCAGACCAGCAGAACTCCTCAGTTCTTCATCAGCCGAACTGACTGTACCGACTGGGCTTCAGGTCTTGGCCATTCAAGAGATGGCTCAAATGCTCCAAACGACACACAAATGTTCCAAACAATGGCAGCACGTGTCTCCAGCGGATCTCCCCACTATGGCCTTCCCGCAAAACCTAGCGGCTCCAGAACCTGACCAGTCGGACATAGCAAATGCTCAAATACCGAAGATCTTCAAACCAATGGGAGTGTACCCAAACTAACATAGTAGTAACTTGTACCCAAACTAACATAGTAGTAACTTAGTAGTAGCAACATCTTTCTTCTTCTTCTTCTTCTTCTTCTTCTTCTTCTTCTTCTTCTGGCCCTAAACTTGAACTCCGCTCCAAAACTCACAGGTCGTAGCGATCTGGAGGGTTGACAGGCTGCATGTTCAAAGCCTTTCAAGCGCCTGTGTATGGATAGGGCTCATATCCTGTCATCCAACGACAACCACCAGCACTGCATCCCTTGGGAAGTGGCCCGTGCCCAGTGACCTGCATCGGTGGCGCCGGGTGGAGCGGCGCCACGTACTCTCGCACGTAGGTTGCCTGCGACCAGGTGGTGAACAGTCCAATGGTCACAAGCTGCCCGACGTGAAAGGGCACCGGAGACATGAAGGACTGCTTCTGCATGGTGAAAGCAACTCTTTCCCTCAGCACCTGGAGTACAGTAGGGCAAAGTTCTTCCTTAGAAGATCGGAAGGTCGGAAGATCAACTGATCCCAGAAAGCGCAAGCAACATCCAGCTAGCTGCCGCACGTACAACCCATGGGCTGCCTACAAGCCTACCAACTCCACGTGTCACCCATCTGCTGCCCAAGGCACCCTGGGCTGCGCTGCCCGTTGCGCATCAGTTAATGCGCGAAAGGACTGCTCCTTCACAAAGAAGAAAGCAGGCTGGAGAAACTGTTGAAATAGGAGCTCCTGGCGTCCTTGCTCCTAGTAGCGATGCCAAGAGCCCCTAGTGGTTTTCTAATGAATAGAACAAACAAGCAAACAAACAAACAAAAAACAAACAAACAAACAAAAATCAAACAAACAAAAAACAAACAAGATGGAGCCCACGAACCCGAATGCAAACACGTTCAAAAAACTACATATGTCCAAATGACACTCTTGTAGGACACTCTTGTGGGACACTCTTGTGGGTCACTCTTGTAGGAAACTCTTGTGGGACGCTCTTACGGGACATTCTTGTGGGACACTCTTGTGGGACACTCCTGTAGGACACCCTTGTGGGATACTCTTGTGGGACACTCTTGTGGGACACTGTTGCGGGACACTCTTGTGGGACACTCTTCAGGGACACTCTTGTGAGACACTCTTGTGGGACACTCCTGTGGGACACTCATTTGGGACACTCTTGCGGGACACTCTTGTAGGACACTCTTAAGGGACACTCTTGGGAGACACTCTTGCGGGACACTGTTGCGGGACACTCTTGTGGGACACTCCCGTGGGACACTGATTTGGGACACTCTTGCGGGACACTCTTGTGGGACACTCTTGTAGGACACTCTTCCGGGACACTCTTGTTGCACACTCTTGTAGGACACTCTTGTGGGTCAC